TTGATCCTGATGAAACCATTGCTTCTTGTCGAACTGCCACTTTCTTGTTGGAGACATTAGTTTTTACTAGTTGAAATTCATTTCTTGCCTATAACTTATTCAGCGTGCCGTTATTAGTCGCAACAGAAAATATATTTGGATGAATTTCTTCCGTTATAACAGCTAAAATATTTCGTTGGTATAATTATTCACAGGTAGATCTCATATTTTGAACTATCAAGACCATTTAACAAAGTTTTTAGTACTGCGTCCACTAAAAACAAAGACTGCTGAAGAAGTAGCAACTCCCAACATTCTTCACAGTGACAATGGCTCTGGACGACTAGCCACATCTGGAATGTCTATCAAAATATTGTCTCCGACAGAGACTGGTGGAAATTTCTTGTTCGAATTCTCGATCATTTTTCTTGCTTGTTCCTCTAACTCGCGTTTAAAGCTTTTTCGAGAACTACTAATCGCTTTTTTATTAGCACGAAAGTGACATAAAGGTATATCGGATGCCGGTAAAGAAGCACATCCTAAGATACTTCTTCATTATATTCCTCATTGCAGTCTGAACAAACTCTGCAATGTACTTCCATTACCAAAACTGGTGATAAATTTTCATTGGTGTCTTCGTCTGCTACATTCTCTATGTTTGATTCGACATTTTAGTTAATTTTACGTAAATGCTCTTCAAATTCTTCTTCGGTCGTTAAATAGGGTCGTTAAGGTCAATCGATTAGAAAGACCGTCTTTCAAAAAATCGATTATCTAGGAACGTTTTCACGTTCGAAAATTGTTTAATTTTTGCAATAATTAATGTAAAAGTTTAAATTCCTCGCCCCCGACTCCAGATGACCTTTTAAGTAAGAAGAAAGAAATAATAGACGTTACGCTCGCTCCCGTTTTCTTCTAGCGCATAAGATTGGTAGCATTGTCTCTCTCCAGGAATTTTATTGAATTTTATACGCTCCAATCGTAAGCTCAAATCTGAGTGACGTACTTTGGAGTTCGCGCCCTGTAGTTTCAAACTTTATTATTTTTTTTTGGGAAAACTAAGCCTCAGAATCATAAATTAAAACATATAGGGTCAATCAATTTTAAAAAAAAATTTCGAATAAGCCAATAAAAAAAAATACTTAACGGTCCTATTTTGAATTAAATCACTTGGTAAGCATGAACACTTTTTTGTGCAATTCCAAACACAGCTTCGTACGGGCTTCTTTTTATTCCACTATGAAATATTATAAGGAATATTTCGCACTTTGAACAAATCGAAGACCAGTGGACCAACTCGTCGAATTATTATCTCTCATCCAAGCCACCAAACTATTACGGACATCTTGGTTAGCTTGTTCAACAGAGCCTTGGCTTGGAATGTCGTGGTTTTTGCGCGTGCAATCTTAACGCCATTCCATTTAATGACTAACTCTTTTATTAGCTGAATCAAAATATTCGTTTATAAGAAAAATAAACTCAAGTATCGAAATAAAAGGAAATTATCGAAAATTTGTCACCTTATTCGAGAATTCACGGCCATTGTCACTATGAAGAATGTTAGGAGCTCCAATTAAGCAAAATATATCCAAAATGACATCTGCTACTTCGTCAGCAGTCTTTGTTTTTAGTAGATGCAGTACTATAAACTTTGTTGAATGGTCTTGATAGTTCAAAATATGAGATCTACCTGTGAATAATTATACCAACCTTGTATTCAACCTATTTTCGTTATAATTTATTATTTTACTAGATTTTTTACCAAATTAATTTAAAAGTTACATGGGTAGTTAAGTTAATTGAGTTAAAAAGCAAAATATGATTACAAATTTATTTACTTACTTGACATCGTGAATTGAATTCAGATATCACCATTGGTTTCACGACAGCTCGTTTTCATTTTGTTTTTTTCTTCAGCGTACAACATTCACAGAGGTTTAAATAGATATCAATAATTTGTCGTGTTATGTTACAACATTTTCGATTTATTTCTACTCTCAACACTTTTTCCTTTTTATGACCTAATTTATTATGTGTAGGGTGTAAAATGTCAAATATTTCCTCGATTCTACAAAAGTATTTTAGTTTGGAATTTGCCGTTGTCTCAATTAGTTTATCATGATCACCAATTGTTAGTATATCAAAACGTTTAATGCGGCGATAATCTTGAGAACATAAAGCTGTTCTGCGTCTTTTCTTTTCCCTTTAGCATTCAACATTTCACGTATTGCAGTTTCAAATTTTTGCATCGCTATTATATTTACCGATTTTAAGCTCAGAATAACAAAACAGCAGAAACGCGTACTGTAACAGCAAACGACTGCAAAAATGTTTAGAAATATTTTCGCTGGCTGCAAAATAAAAGCAATCGATTATGGCTAAACATCGAATAGCCTCAACACGTTGTGAGTACACATTAAATACTCACAATGCGTTGTAGGTACTTTTTGGTGACCAAAATGCGCAAAATTGGTTAATTTCGGCTATTGAGTAAACCTAAATACCGTTATAACTCGTTGTGAGTATTTTCCGCTACTTAATGACCGAAGAAATTGCTGAGAACGCGTTGTAATCATTTAAGCTTACCCACAACGCGTTGTAGGTAAAAATTTCGGACAATGTCCGAATTCGGGTATTGCGAATAACATATACATCGCGCTTCTTAGTGAATTTAGTTAGTCATTTGGTGTCGAAGATTCGGAGGATTTTCATTCCTTCCACGAGACGACGAAAGGTATTAGCGAAAGTATCACTCAAATCATGGTACATCCTGGTCGTTGAACAAAAAGGAAACCACATAGAGCTATAAAAGCCAAAAATAGCGCAGATGGGAAGGATTAAAAAATATAATAGTTCACTTATTTGGATAACCATTCCAAAAACACAAGTACACATGAAGAGTTCTAGGATAAATCATCAAATCATACATCATAATCAAACAGTTTTATAAATTTTTATTTAATACTATTTGATACTAAACATTCTAAATGAAACCACGTTCTGCACTGAGCATCCAAAACATTTGGAACTAAGGTTCAACACTTTAATTTACAAAATTGCACCTGGTAAGTTTACTTCAACTAATTTTATAGGAGAACAAAAAAATTAAAAGTAAATTCAAATTATTATATTTTGTTCAGAAATATTTATATTTTCTATACACTCTAAAACTTGGATGGTTTTGACTTGATATTTCATCATCCTAGATCACCAACCTGGTCAAATATTTTTGTAAATCTAAAAAAATGTTTGGGCTGCATCAAATTTTTTGAAAAAGTAAAAGTCATATAACATTATGTGGAGATGATTTCTTTCTTGCCGATGGTAATATTTCCGATATGGTAATATAATCTCGATTCTAAGAAATATTTTTTCAGTGAAAAAATCCGTCCCTCTCTCGATTCCTAAAGTATTTATAACGGGGTCCTGCATACTCTAAAAGTGCAGTGATTATTGTTATTCGTTTATCTCCAACTGTCTTATACAGGAGCAAGAAACAGTGGCCACCAGAGACGACCGACCTGGATAAATTTACTGCCATCGGTTACACAGCGATAACTTTTAATTCCGATGTGTTAATTACATTCGTTTTATCGCTGATTCTGCGCAGGATCATATTTCATATTGTAGTCAAATCGTCGAAGTTTTACTTGCTTTAATCTTATCTATCTATATCTATTATTACTAGGATCCGGTGAAAGCAAATTTTATCTTGTGTCTAAAAGCAGTTCGATATACAGAAAACTTGTGGTCAACACTTAAGTCGTTTGTTATTGGATACCATATACAACGTAGAACCTGCCGAGGATTTTAAGATCGTCAAGAAACCCCAATGTTTCTTCCTTTTATTCTCGTAAAATTATAGCGATGTACAAAAATGTAAATAACGCCATTGAATGGCTCCTTACTACCATTACATCTGGGAATAGCACGCAATTAAGTTAGTCAATTGACAACAATGGTACAATGCGACCTCGAATCATTCAGATTCGAAGATTAAAAAAGGAATATGATGCTTTATTAGATTTTACAAAGAAAGTAAGTAATAAAACAGAAAAAAATATCGTTTTAAGGTTTAATGAGAAACCTTACAGATCTATTGTAACAACAATTTGTTGTGTTAAAAAAATCGCAGGAATAAAGTGAATGTTCGAGATACTATTATTAAGTACGATAAATTAATAGGTAGACTAGGATCAAAACAACGAAAGTTAACCACAATGATAAAATAGCAAATTCATGTATCTTACCGTACTCTTAAAATATTCAAGGACAACATTAAAGTTATTCAAGATAACCAGAATGAGGCAGCTCATCGTATTCATACAATTATTCCATTACACTCTAGAAATAAGAGGGCTAACATCATAGCAAGTGGTTACAAATTTCGTTTTAATAATGGTAGGCCAAAAGACAATAGCAATAAAGCTGCAAAAAAACTTCTAAACTATTAACGCCATTTCCAGCATTCCATTACGGAGCACCGATTACTCTAAAATTCAAGTTTTAAGTAACACTCCAGACTAGTAGCATCCATTTAAGAAAAGAAGTTCTCCGTGTCTACGTAAATAATTTAACAGAACGACATTATATATCTCGCTGCTATAAATCTGTCTGCACCCTGGAAGAACAATCATTTTTGCAATTAGAAGAGTAAAGCTTCCTTTTCCGTTACGCATTCAAAACATACTGGTCAAACATCTCACAGCATATACATATAAAGCAGGAGTTCTGAGATCTAATTCGGAAATGCAAATATTTCTTTTAATCAATATGAAACTATAACAACAAATTATAATATTGATCCACATTAAGTCTTAACGTTATGTTAAGATTGGATTCTGCATTGTCCAGCATAAACACTCAAAAGCGCATAGTGGTTCACCAAAAAAGTAAAAAAAAATTGTGTAATAACTTCAGCTAAATAAGGTCGATTTATTACTACTGTTATTAACAATAATAACTGTAGTAATTAATCGATCACTCACCAATGTTGATCTGGGCTACTAAAAATACGAAAATAGTGTTGATATAAAAGATTTATTAGTAAATTGGCACAGTTGTCAGAACTTAAGCTACTGCATAGAATCCTAGACATACCAATAGTGAGGGCTCTGTAGAACGTAACAGAATAAATGGACGAAATAGTTCAAAGGCTTAAACTTTTGTTCAAATCAGGCATTAAACCTGATGTAATAATTGATGTTTCCATCTACATCAATAATTGTTAGTGGCTACAAACTTGAGCTTTTTAGGGATTTATATTCATGAGTGTAATTAAATAATATTGCTTTTTATTTCAAATTAAAATAATAATAAAATATTACATTTAGATAATAAAAACTATAAACAGAAACAAAAATATAACTGGCAAAAGGAATGAATATTGAATATTCGAAAAGATTTATGCGGATGGATTTTTTTTCATTAAATCAATATCAGCTGCCATCATATCTTTAACGAGTTCCGGAAATGTTACCGTTGGTTTCCACCCGAATTTATTTAACGCTTTTGTTGCATCACCTAATAACAAGTCCTAAAATTCAAAAAAATTATATATTTTATAAAATACGATAATTTATTTTACTACTAACCACTTCAGTTGGTCGAAAATAACGAGGATTAATTTTAACTCTTACAATACCGGTATCCTTTTCTTTTCCAACTTCATCAAGGCCTCTTCCTTCCCAAATTATTTCTTTTCCAATGTATCCAAAAGATGCTTCAATAAATTCTCTTACACTGTGCGTTTCTCCAGAAGCGATTACAAAATCTTCTGGATTTTCTTGTTGTAACATTAACCACATTGCCTAATTACAGAGAATAAATAGATTAAATTATGAAATAGATTAAAACATTAATTTCTTACTTCTACATAATCTTTTGCGTGCCCCCAATCTCTTTTAGAATCCAAATTACCAAGTTCGATAACTTCCGCTTGTCCTAAATAAATTTTTGCAACACCTCTGGTAATTTTTCTAGTAACAAAAGTTTCTCCTCTTCTCGGACTTTCATGATTAAAAAGAATCCCATTACACGCAAACATATTATAAGCTTCCCTGTAATTAACCACAATCCAATAAGCATATAATTTTGCGCAAGCTAAAAAATTTAATCGAAATTCATTTCAATTTCTTTTAAAACCAATTTCAATTACCGTTACCATAAGGTGATCTAGGATAAAAAGGTGTTGTTTCTTTTTGAGGAATCTCGGCGACTTTTCCATACAATTCCGAAGTGGAAGCTTGATAAAACTTAACGGTCTTTTCTAAACCGCAGGTCCTAATTGCGTCTAACAATCTTAAAGTACCAACGGCATCTACTTCCGCTGTGTATTCACTAAGATCAAACGATACTTTCACATGACTTTGTGCAGCTAAATTGTAAATTTCATCAGGTTTTATTGTCGATATAAGTTTTACTAAACAACTCGAATCTGTCATATCTCCATAATGTAAATGCATTTGGCCACCTCTATGAAGGTATTGGTCAGCGTATAAATGATTTATTCTAGATGTGTTAAAAGTACTTGCTCGACGAATTATTCCATGAACTATGTAACTCTTCGATAATAAAAATTCTGCTAAATAAGAACCATCCTAAAAATTATAATTTTTAAATTTACTTGATGGAATATAAATACAATTTTAATGAAATAATGAGAAGTTCATATAAAATTATGAAGTTATTAGGAAATTTATAAAAAATTTTAAATTACAAAAAAAATTATACTTTGATCTTTAAAACATTAATTTTTTATCATCGAAGATTTTCTTATCTTAAACCAAAAAGAGGGAAATCGTTTACAAATAAAATCAATTAAAGAACGATGTTTTAGACAGCTGAGCTTGTTATAAACGATGTTTTTTTGATTGCCGATTTGATTTATATTACGTTTTATGTGCACAGAAAAATTTTAAATTAATATGCCTTACGATAATTATTTACTTTTCTTCAAACTGTATAAGTCAGAAACATAAGATAAAAAATGTATCGTTAATAAAAACAAATATATTGTTAATTAATAAAGAGCACAATAACCGTAGAATACTAATATTTTCAAGGAGGAACTTCCATTATTATAAACAAGAGTTTCGGAAAAGTGTGCCATATATTTTCGTGACATACATCTTCCAGTATTGTAAAGTACAAGTAAAAACTTATCATCACTCTACGAGAAGTAAAGGCTTTTTCATAGCTGAGAGCTCTTCATGAGTAACTGCATAATGATTTATCTTTTGTAAGAAAATATTGATGATGATTTTTGAAACAACGAGATTTTGTTGTAAACGCATCCAAAAACTCTATTAACTCAAACCAAGAAACAATAAAGACTTTGGTGTAATGCAAGGTAGAACGGATTTGATCTAAAATACATTGAACTACTAGGTTCAACTCAAACAACTCAGTTTAATTGTATGGTGCAAGGTCTACAGGCATGTTCGCACAACCCTGTCAAATCGTTTCTGACTGGTTTCAAACTAAGGATATCCCCACGATTCGCCCATTTGAATAATGTAGCGTTAAAATCAGCCATAACCACATATGTCATAAGCACATGTATAATCACCTTCAGTCTCATTAACATTGCCCATTTTATAACCATCAGATCTTTATATCATTATATAAAAATGAAAATATCATTATATTTTCCACATCTCTGCTTGTATGACACTTCATCGTGTAATTCATTTATCAACACGTTTTCTTAAATTTATTTTAATAATTTTGCTAATGTGGTTTTCATAACCACATTAACCAAATGCTTCAAATTTCAAACTCATTCAGGTTTCCAGAAATAAATAAATCTAAATGAACTCTCTTAAAGGACAATTCTTTACAACAAAGGGTGAACGGACACCGAAAGAATTCAGACGTATTTCTCCCCGCCGTTTAGCTCAGCTTATTTGTATTCACTATAATTAACGACGTTTAGAATTTTCTGTACAGTCACGTACGAGTATTGTTAACAAAGAAAACAATATTAGCAAAATTATTAAAGCATATGTAAGAAAACGTGCTAATATTGTCGTTAAAGTGAGTTTAGACATACATGGATTTACTGGCGTGCCAGTAAAATTAAATTGCATGTGTAAACATCAACTGGCATGCAAGTTGAAATCATGCATGCATGGATCGGAAAAGTCTGCACCTTTCTGAAATCACTGGCGCCAGTGATGACAAATACGTGCAGCAAAATAAAATTTGCGTGTACAAATGCTTGCACATCGGCGCGCCAGTTTTTAGTTAGATTTTCGTTTCGGTTGAGGTCCTAATTTGTGTTTATTGTAGTTTATACAGGGTAATTCAAATTCGACCCCCACCATTGGGATCTCAGAAACCATACGAGATACAAAAATGGTTAAATGGGGGCAAAATTGCGTATCTTAAAGCTCATCATTTTTCAACTAAGTTTTTGGATCTAGCCGTTTTAGTTTTTAAAATATGGCCGAAAAACAAAAAAATGACTTTTTAGTTTTTTCGTGAATCTGAAAAAACATTCTTAATGCAACTTTTTATGAAAAATGTCATGACACAACTAGAAATTTTCTCCGACGTGTCGTTTTCGTGAAACGAAAAAAAAACATTGGCGTTCATAAGAAAAAATAAATCTGATGATAGTTTCACGAAAACAAAACGTCGGAGAAAATTCCTAGTTGTGTCATGACATTTTACATAAAAAGTTGCCTTAAAAATAGTTTTTCAAATTCACGAAAAAACGAAAAATAAAGAAGTTATAGGCAAAAAACGAAAAAGTTATTTTTTGTTTTTCGCCCATATTTTAAAAACTAAAACGGCTAGATCCAAAAACTTAGTTGAAAAATGATGAGCTCTAAGATACGCAACTCTGCCCCCATTTAACCATTTCTGTATCTCTTAGGGGGTCGAATTTGAATTATCCTGTATAGTTTATTATAGCTAAAAAGAAGTGGTCGGCAGAACTGACAATCAAATTTCTTGAAGGCTATGAATCTTATCCATGTTTATGGGATGTACAGGGTGGTTCAAATTCGATGTCCGAATAGGCTATCTCGGAAACTATAAGAGTTAGAAAAAAAGTAGCTTACATGTCATGATCTCGTTTTTCGAGAAACTGCTAATGCCAAAAACCTCAAAGCGCTATCGTCTTGTGTTTTTCCCCTAGAGGCCAATTCTTTTAAATGGACTTTATTTCCTCCACTTTCTTTCCTTCTCTTTTGCCAAGAGTGTAGATTGCGGAAGACGCGCCAGAATGCGAGGAACAAGATGTATGATTCATATACACAATGTGTGTTGTGTGCTTGGGATCATTATTTTACCGACTTAATCGACTTCACCAAACGTTTAAAAGTCGATCTGACTTTTACAGTCAGCTGCGAGATAGGTGGAAGAGAATACGCAAAATGAAGTGTCGTGATCCTAAATGCACTAATTTGATTGGTCATGTATAAAATCGTAGGTCTTGGACTTGATGGATGTGCAACAATGGCAGGAAAAGAATCGGGCGAAATATCTAAGGCTCTAGAAGGTTTTGATACGAATCCAGAATGAAAAGCAGATACATGGACAAAACTTCATAGGGTACATTTGAAGCTTTGCAATCAAATTTCATGTTGCCATGGTCATAATAGTAAAGTAGAGTTTGAAAATAGAGCCTTTTAATGCTTCTTAAGCAGTTCTTAGGAAAGATAGAACTAAAGGCACTAGCACTAAACTTATTTTGCAAGCATATATCAAGAGAATAATGAAATAGCCAAGAACATGCAGGTGTTAATTGAATTGTTCAGCAACAAAAATAATTTTCAGCAATTTTAAGCGCCAGATTTAACACTTTACGACGCTTTCAAGTAAACTATTTTTTTCCAGCGGTCGCTAGAAATTAGTATGTACATTTTTGACTTTTCCACTAACGACTTATTGCGTTAAAACAATATTTAACACGTTGCTCAGGTTTACAATGACTGATTTAGAATGATTTAGACCATACTGTTGTATCAAGGTATTATATGAAGTATATTACACCAACATTGAAAGAAATATTATCTGTCACTAATCCATGTTGTTATTCATGGATACACTATTGCTATATAGATAACCACAATTATTAATTTAAATAAATTGACGTTTTACTCATCATAATAGTAAGTTAGAATTATCTACATACATTAAATGTCATTTAACATGTGATTAAGTATCAAATTTCAAGTGTCATTTAAAAAGTCAAACATTTGCATTAATTTTCTTTCTTAAAAATAACCTTTTAAATTATTTTTAAAGAAAAATTTTGAATGATTTAAGAAAATTATACCTACTTAAAACTATAAAAATAGAATAATTTAAGAACTACTTTTCTTTCAACGAAATGTAAACAAACCTTTCTATTTCTTACTGTTTGTATGATTGATACTACATCTTTAACTTTAATGTAATAAATTAAACTTATACTTATTTATCATTTCTATTAATAAATGTATTAGTAAATAAATATTTACCTGACCAGATATACCGGTAATAAAAGCAACTTTTTGGTTCGTTTCTCCAGACATTTCTTGAATATCGTTTGTTACTAATCACCGTAAAACTGTTAACGTGTTTATCATTAAAGAATTTAACTTCTTTTTATTTAACTGGGTCAGAACTTTTGCGTTTAACTAAAATAAAAGTTAAAACATCGACAACAATTTGCCATGTATGCAAATAGAGAATTTTTTGTTTTATCAGTTGGCGTTCCTCTTGTCGTTTGACGTTTCTAAACGTCAAATAATCTAGGTTAAGATTCCTTTCTGTATTTATAAGTGTCTGTTGTCGTTTTTATCTTTTATCAGCCTGTTTACGTACGTATTTTACTCCAGTTTGCTTTTCGAATAATTATTATTAATCGAAGTTACACAATGTTATAGATTTTTTATAAATGGGGACGGATAAATTGTTTGTTGTTTCCCTATTGTTAGTTATTCTAACATATGTACAGGTATTTATGAGAATTAATACTTAATCTGAGTTATTTTATCATATTTTTTTATATGATGTTTCAGGGCCAAACTTATGAAAATAGTCGATGTAAATGCGTTTGTCCTAGCATATCATCGGTAACAAATAGTACAGATGCAACACCATCGGTCATAAAACCAATTATTACAAATGTTCCACCAAATAAATGGTAGGTTATTAATTTGAGATTAATTTGATAATAATTTTTTTTATTATAGCAATTGCGAAGGTGTTGTTTTACCAAAATTAGGTGACAGCATAAAAGGAAAAGAGCAAGAATTTTGTCCACGCTGTGAATGCAAATATGAAAATAGGAATATAAACATTATTAAGGTTGTTGTCATCATTGTTATTTGGGTTATTTCTATATTGGTTGTTTATATGGCCTTTTTAATCATATTGGATCCTTTACTTAATAAGAGAGTTAAAGGAAATTATCAAGAACATACTAATGAAGAGGTAGGTTAATAAAAATATATAAAACATGGAAAATTTGTTGTGTGTGAGTATTTACAGGCTATTTTTAATTGTTATAAAGTAGTGTAGCTATTTGTTTAGATTTGTTTTCACAGAAAAATTACATTGCATCTATTTTTAATCAAATAAAACAAAGTTTACAGATTTTAAATGCACTTGGTATGGTGGAAAATAAAGTAAAAGTAATCTTAATTACACTTATGTTTCCTATGGTTCAGGCAGGAGTAATTTTTTAATTGGAGATATAACAGTTAAGTAATGGCTAATAGAAACAGTATATTGTTAGTTCTTCTCTTTGAATGTGGGCCAGTTTTTGTTGATTCAATAAATCAATTTTACTGCTTGAGACAAATCACTACATTGGTGATACTGGTAATTAAAACATCACGATTTAACCCAACATTCTTTTCTTTCATTTCTTAAAGTTTTAACATAAAATTCGTTACATTAATGTTTTAGATTTCATGGAATGTGCTAGTTTCGCCTTATTCATAATTTTTTATATTTTACTTTGAGGTCAATAAAAATCTGAAAAATTTAATTTTACTTAAATATGATACTCTTGTTTACTTTATCTTAGTCGATCTGTATCCGAGTTATTTGAGCTTAAATTCATTAATTTACTTTTGATTATAGTGTAATTTGTTCAAAGGTTTCCACTTTTTTTGGACTCTTCTACTCCTTGAGAGAATTTTGAAAATATTCTTTGTTTAAAACCTAACTTTGTCTTGAAAGTAAGGATCTCACTCAAACAGCGCTTTAAGTAAACTTGGTAAAAGTTTGTACTGTTTTCAGAAATCATCTGCTCGCCTTATTATTATTATTACTGCTGAGGGAGCGCTTCTCTCATCACCGCATCCTATAAGATCTATTGTAACTTAAGCCCTGCAAAGATTTAGGGCAAATGTAGCTCCTTGATGAACCTTAGTATTGCTCTATGGTCTTCTTCCTTTATGTCTGTAAAATTTGTGTCTTACAATGGAAGTGACACAACTGTGGCACGCCGATTTTGATGAAATTTGGTACAGCCATAGAATGGACCCAAAATAAGGTTTACGTATTTTTTTATACGTGCGGTAAAACCTCCTGAGCCGAGTTTTAGAGGTTACAAAAGTAGTTACATGTTAACCCTCGTAACATCGCTAGTGTTGATCTACGACGAATGAGAAAAAACACTTAACTAATATTTTTGAATGCACTACAAGTATATTTAACACTATCAAAATCGATAGGGTGGTTTTTAAATAAACCCGAAAAAATAAGTTTAATTCGCCCCTTTTCACCCTGTGGTATATGTATGATACATCAAATGAAAGCTTATTAAAAATGAATATCAGTTTCAATTTACCAAATTTTGATAGCACTTTTTGTTTTTGAAATATATGCAAAAAGAAATTTGCGATATAATTTTTTTAAAATTAATTACTTTTACGCTAAAATCTATTATTATGATTATGTAGGGTTTGATTAAAAAAATGGTAACTCCGAAATTTGAAAAATTAAAGAAATGGTTTTTGGCACATTAAATAAGAAGTAAATTTGCTTTTAATTGTTTTTTATTTCATGATGATATCTCAATTAGACTCTGAGATACGATTCTTTAAATGTGAATTTAACACCTATAATTGTGGTAAAGCAGAGTTGAACTAAAAAAATCGTAACTCCAAAATTTGAAGATTTAAAAAAAAGATCTTCAATACACTAAATAATAAAGAAATTTGCTTTTAATTGTTTCTTATTTCATGGTGATATCTCATTTGGATTTTGATATATGATTTTTTTTTAATTAATTACTTTTACGCTAAAATTATAGATATGATTTTTCATTTAAAGCTTTTAAAGTCTAGCTAACCCAAGAATTAAAGTTAACTGAACATGGACAACCCTGTACGTTTCTTAATTGGTGATACACAACATAATGCTCCATTTTAGACTTCTATAACATAAAAGGAGATTAACGATTTGTTGGTAAACAGGGGAGATCATGTCCTCTATGAAACATTTCGCAAAACATTTCTTCTATGATGGAGGGACTTTTATATTCCATATTTTATCTTGAACTAGTTTGTGTATAAAATAAAAAATTCTTTGATCAACTATTATTGTGCAACATGTATTGTCAGTATTTTTGAAAGTTTATGTTGGCTGTCAAGTGGTACAACAACTATATCTGTTAAACATGACTGCTACCAGGACTGAATTTTATTACCTTTGCTGCGAAACATAGTGCCTACTGGGTTACATTAATTAACCAGTTGTTTCGCCCTGTTCTGGAATGTTGAAATCCCAATACCGAAAGCAGTACTTAGCAGACCCAAAATAGGTCTGTGTAGCTGTTAAGAACCTATCATTGTTGTATTGGAAGGACTTGCAAATAATAATAATACATCGCACATATTCGATTTTAGAGTGCTGCAGTAAGAGAAAGTAAGAGAATGTAGAGCCGTGTAACTCAATAAAAGAGTTATAATTCTATATTTGTCACACAGCCACTTAATCCTTCTTCATTAAAAAAGCTAATGCAGAAGGTAAATAATTTGAATGATGAACTTGCACAAATCTTTATCATATGACAGAAGAATTTGAAGCTTTTTACTTTTCCCTTCTATTCGAATACAAATTCCATGAAACCTGAAAATGAGGTTTGGCTGCTCTGATTAATTTGAAATCTAAGTACTGTCTGTTAGTACTTTTCCTAGTATAGTGAAACTTAATAAGTGGAAAACTTTCAATGTGGGTTTTGACTTTCTCTATCTCATTACGCCTTTTCTCATCTCCAATACTTCCTCTTTGTGCTTGAAAACGTGTTCCACTGTTTCCTTACAAACACTGTGTTTTTAGAAAGAATGATTCACACTCTGACTTTGGTTTCAGCTTCAGTAGCAAAAAAGAAAACTTTAGAATCAGATCTGAGCTTGTTTTTACTATCGAGTTTTGTCTACGTCTTTCAGGAACTCGACTCGTTACTTTTACATTACTCAAAATAAAATCCTTTCTGCGCATAAAATCACAAGTCCACTAAATTTTGCAAATTGAATTTCGATGACATATGATTTGTTGCGAGCTATCCAATTTTTGTATTGGCATCATATTTCAAGGAACAACTAAAAGGATTCTTTCTTTATAACGTCGTTAATGAAATTATTGAAAAGCTTCTTCAATTGCCTAAATTTTTCTGAGGCAAAACGCATTTTTACTCTAATAATCTATCAATAATAATCCGATAAGTTAAATCCCATAAGTTAAAAATTAAATCCCTCTGCCGATAAACGCCGCGGGATTTAATTGTCAAAGATGTGTCCAAACAAAAATATTTTCTATTGTTTGCTTAATTTATGATAATAAATAACTATTTTCTTTTAATTTCTGTACATTAAAGAGTTAAATTCGACTTTGAGTTTTTCTGATTTCTTGTTCTGCTTTATTTGATTCGTTTTGTTATTGTTACTTAAAAACTTTCTTTTTGCACGATTTTGTAGGTATTAGTTTAATTCTGTTATTTATCTATAGACAATTCTTTTACTCCAGGATGAAACGGCCGCGGGTGTTGGCGGCCCCATGTCTCATAACATGAGTGTCAGGGGGAATGTTTTCAATCGTGTCGGACACGAACAAGACAAATGGAAAAAACAGGTCAAAGAGCAAAGGAAGAATATTTACGACAGACACACCATGCTAAATTAATTTTATTCACCCCGTTAACATTATAACTTATTTGTAATATTTACGAATACTACTCAACGTATTAACAGATAAATAATCAAATGTGTTTTTAGCGTTTTCTTCTCTTTGTGTTATTTACAACTATGTGATATCCATTAATTTTCATTATTATTGTAGATTTTAGATGTTTTATTTGTATATTTTGGCCAATTATGTAAATATAGGTAAATATACATTAAACAACGTTTATTTTTATTATTATCTCAAATTGAGTGTTAACTTCGCGCAATTAAAATTTTTAACTTTGCACTACCGGCCCATTAATAGTTGTAAAATGATGTGTATACAAAACAGGTAAATAAAAGCCTGTTTCACAGCTAAAACTAGAGTCAATACTAGACCTAGAATTAGAAACAGTTCTAGGTCTAATGTTAGTTGTAATGCTTGAGATTGTTGTAAGTATTTTATATCTCCCGCCTTTTCTTATAAGTTATATACCAAAGCCAACACAAGACCTAAATACAAAATACCCTAACTTATTGATCTATCACCAAATATATAATTAAATCCATTATTTAAATATAATTCGATGGTTGATGCAATGTTAAACATTTTTTTAAAGATATTCTACTAAATATAATTAATAAAAATCTTTTATTATTAATTAAATTACCTATAAACCTTTTACAAATTATTTTTTTAAGTTGGTACCAATTTATTTACTAAGTATTCGTGACAGTTGTCAAAATAATCTTTGGGTATATCATTTTATAATTATTTTTGAATAAAGTTAAAACCAATTATTGGAAAGAGATATGGCTCAAATCGGTGAACCATTAACACTCTCTAGAGGTAAGTTATGAATATTTACTATGAACATATCCAAAAATATCTATTATAAATAACCCTAAATAATGAATAATAACTGCTTTTTATAAACTAGACATCAAAAGGTCTATTGAATTACTTGAAAAGTTACAAAAAAATGGTGAAGTACCAGCGACAAAGTTGGCCGCCCTACAAAAAGTTCTCCAAAGTGACTTCTTAAATGCTGTTCGAGAAGTGTACGAACACGTTTACGAAACCGTTGATATTCAAGGGTCTCAAGATGTTCGTGCTTCAGCTACAGCAAAAGCTACAGTTGCTGCTTTTGCTGCAAGTGAAGGTCATGCTCATCCTAGAGTTGTTGAGCTACCAAAAACTGAGGAAGGTTTAGGGTTTAATGTTATGGGTGGAAAAGAACAGAATTCGCCAATTTACATCTCTAGAATTATACCTGGAGGAGTTGCGGATCGTCATGGGGGTTTAAAACGTGGTGATCAATTATTAAGTGTAAATGGAGTGGTAAGTACTTATTGGTTTTATTTTTTATTCAGTAATGAACTTGAACTTTCTTCGTTTAGTCTGTTGAAGGCGAAAATCATGAAAAAGCTGTTGAACTGTTAAAGCAAGCCCATGGTTCTGTTAAATTGGTTGTTCGTTACACTCCCAAAGTCTTGGAAGAAATGGAGATGAGATTTGATAAACAACGTGCAAGAAGGCGACAACAATATAATTAAAAATGTTTTAAATTAAGAGATAAAACAGAAATGCTAATCTCGTTGGATGCATTTAATTGTGTTCTATTTATAAGTTGTATTTAGCTTTTTTAATGTATTCTCAATTTTATTCCACTTTATTTTAAGATGATACTCAAAAATATCTTGACAATTTTTATTTGTTTAGACGTTTTACATAAAAATTTGTTATTTATTGTTATTATCTATGTAGAATGTATAAATAATAAATTGTAGTCAATAATATATTGAATTTTTATTTTTTGAAATTTACAAAATCCTTTAAAATTATAGATAAAAAAAAATCTGTTTTAATAATAGTATTTAATGTAAAAATATATTCTATACGTCGAATTGTAAACATCTCAATGAATGACAACGGCATAAAAGAAAAACGAGTTGAAATAAAATCTCAACCTACTGGAGGTTTAGTGGAAGGTTTAGCTCCCGTCGACCAAGCCTTCAAACGATCATAGAATACCAAAACTAAAGCAGCGCCCGTACCTCTTAATATATTCGAAAAGGCACCTTTGTAAAACGCTGCAGGCCCTTCGTCCTTCAGTATTTTAATCCAACAATCCATCGTATTCTTGTACATTATTTCCGATTTTGCACGCCCTGATTGCATCATCATTCGTCTTCTTACTGTATCCAACGGGTAAGATATTATGCCAGAAAATGTAGTTACTGCCTAAAAACTATAAGTGTAAAAAAGAGGTATATTGCAGGGTGCAACAGAAGACACTTGCGGGGGAGTACCATTTATTACAATGTTTTAGTATCTAGGAAATAATATTTCTCAATTATAGCTTCCAATTAGATATGTACATTTGTCTATAACATCCGCCTAAACCCTATACGAATTTTCTCTGTTGCACCCTGTATATTTATTTACATACCAATGCGATTGAAAATGATATCATAAAATTAACGTCTTGTGGAGGTGGCATATATGACTTTATGGTATCGAAAACTCCAAAATATGCTGCTCTATATATAATGATACCTTGCACGGAAACAATAAATCCTCTGTACAAACCAATTGGTCCATCACTTTTTATAGTTTTTAGTATACAATCCATAATACCATGGTATAGACGATCTGAACCCTTTCCTTTACCTTTACCAACATCAGCACCCAGTCTATTAAAAGACAATGTTTCAAATAAGTTAACAAACAAGACATGATTAAAGACACCAGACAACAATCATTAACGTTTACCTTGTTCTTGCGTAATCTAGAGGATATACAAATAATAACGAAGTTGCGCCCGCTGCTCCTCCAGACGCTAAATTTCCCGCAAAATATCTCCAAAAATGTTTCTCTTTATCTATACCGCCTAAGAAGAAGTGCTTGTATTGATCTTTAAAAGCGAAGTTTAACGCCTGTGTTGGAAAATACCGGATAACATTCGCTAAATTTCCTCTCCAAAAGCTTGCGAATCCTTGTTCTTGCGGTATTCTAATAAAACAGTCGATTATTCCTATATCATAAAAAGCGAAGATTGTTTTAATGATTTATACCTTAACTTCTAACGAAACTGTTTTTATTTTACCTTTGTATTTTTTATCGGCAGCTATTTGTTTTGAAGCATGCTGAATCTGCAGTAATAATTTAACGCGTTCGATTGGAGCGACAGCCGTTTTTGCAACTGCAGCGGATATTCCTCCGGCGAGAAAATCCTTGACGAAACTGATGAGATCTGAGTCAACTGCCTCAGAATTTGATACTTTACCCTTTTTGTCTTTTGACATAATATTTAATTTTATTTCACGCTCGTTACGATATGTATGGTAAAGTGTGAGAGATGAGTAAGTCAAATTTTGATAGATGATTCTGCCAACTAATGACATCACCATAAAACAATAGGAGTCTTACATGTTTGACGTCTTAATGCCGTCTAATATTATAAATTTTATAGGGGATTTTGTAAAATTTTGGGCGAATGATTGTTTTAGCAAAATTATGCCATTCAATAAACGACAGGATAATATCAGCCCTTTGTCAAATTTCCTAGGATTGTAGTACTTAACTGAATTTTCATTAATAAAGTATTGTTACTGAATGACCGTGAAGAAGAAGGCAAACTTTATACACATGAATTCAAATTAAAAAGAACAGTTTGTTACGTTATGACACAATTTAGTGTGTGTCAAAATATTGTGTAGTGAAAAAATCGGTTTTGAAGTTAATCTCGTACTGATTTCTTATGTTGTGGGTGGTGATGAGATCAAGCCTGCAGGTACCTGTTGGTATGTGTTTTCTTCCCACCTTCCCATCTGTCTTCCCAGTCACCAATACATCCAGGAATGGTAACTGTTTTGCAGCTTCTGTTTCCAATGTTAATTTGATCATGGAGTGTTGTGAGTTTAGGTGGTCTAGAAATTCCTGGAGTCACTTTCTCCCGTGCAATAGGCAGTACTTCGCCAGCCCTGGATCATACTCCGACAAGCCCTGCGAAAAGAGTTTCTGAGGAAGACCATACATGACATCTTTGACTGGTACTCTGATGAATAGAGATTCCACGTCGAAACTTACCAAGATATCCCGGGGATTTAACTTCATACCCCTGATTGATTCCACAAAATATGTAGGATCTCTGACATATGATTCCGTTTTACCTGTAAAACGATACAGAATCTTGGCAAGGTATTTTGCTAGTTGATACGTAGGAGAATTTATGGCACTGACAATAGGGGGTAGTGGAATTATGGATTTTTGGTAATTCATATATTCTTGGTTGTATTGGGACCTGTAACAAGCTTTTCTGTTGTGCTGCTTGGATTCTTGTAGATTTTACCAATTTTTTCATTTTCCTTACTATCTTCTCGATTGGGTTCTTTTTTATTTTCTTATAGGTGACTGCTCCAAAAGGCCATGGGGTTCGTACCATGGAGTTCGACAAAACGATGGTGCTAGTAAGAACCGGATCTTATTTCCAAAGAATGACAAGAGAGGCGTTAGAGATTCAATGACATAGGAACAGCTTGAACAGAGAAGACGGCTGGGACCTCAGTCGCACCTGGAAGATGCTAGTTAACCTAACGAAAGCTTGTTCACCCGGTTTTGACAAAAACAACTTAGTTGACAATTAGACAGTAATTAGTATTCATTGATTATTAACTCAAACTTTCTGAAGAAGATTGCAACATGGCATCCGAAACGTTATAATTTTTTGCAGGTCATTTGTAAAGTACTTTTTTGAATGCCATATCAAATATTTACATCTTGTGAGGTCACCGAAATGTACGTATAAAGTCTGGTTCCAGCAATCAATATGACATTTTTAACTTCTTTTTGAGTTACTATTCTGCGAAATCTATTTTATCGGAAGGTAGAAATTAGAAATGTTTCTTAACATATTTTATTTTGTTTTGTTGACATTTTTGACATTATAACAAAAAATTAAACAAAATAATGTTTTGCAGCTTTACTCAGTGGTCCAGTCTGCTTTATACGTAATATAGATAAATATTGTCATTCTTGGACATCTCGTTGTGGAGAAGGTTTATAGCCTCGATGTTGAGATGATCGTATATTTTCTTCTCATGTTTAAATGCGAATAATGCAATTTCTGATGATACCGATGCTACTTGAAATCGCGATGGAGGTCGGTGTTTCTTATGTACCAAGGTGCATTCACTATTCACCTTAGTACTTTGTTTTGGAATCTTTGAATCAAACTTGCATTTGACTTGCAGGTACAACCCCACAGTTGAATTCCGTATGTCCATTTTAGTTTCAAAACTTGCATGTATAATAGCAATATGCTTCTTTAGTGATAACGTAGATTTTCTGCCAATAAGCCAATATAGGTGTCTAAATTTGACATCAAGTTCTTCACGTTTTTTCTTGACGTGAGCTTTCCACTTGAGTTTAGCATCCAGCGTCATACCAAAATATTTTGCGGTGTTGCCGTAAGGAATTGCATTACCATTTATGTGCACTGGGAGATAGTTTACTTTCTTATAAGTAAAGTTTATGTATGTTGATTTATTTGTATTTAATTTTGTTAGCCATTGTTTGGTCCAGTTTTCTATTGAATTTAACGCCAATTATAACTTATGAATGTAACTGTTAAAGTTTCTGGTATCTCGGGAAGGTCGAAGGTGTTGAGTAAGTACAGTGTTGGGCCAAGCTCACTTCCTTGAGGAACGCCGGCTTGTATTTCATGTAATGATGAATAAGCGTTTTCGTATATTACTCTAAAATATCGATCAGAAAGATACGATTTTAATACTTGACTATACGTTGATGGTAGTATTTGGTCTAGTTGGTAATTCAAACCATCTAACTATACTTTGTCGAAAGCTTGTGCAACATCCAAAAATACGGCGGTGCAAACATTATTTTCTTCCATTGCTATTTCGATAGTATTCGTTATCTCAAATAGCATCTGTGGGGGTTTACCAGATTTTGGTATTATTATTATTTCAGTAACTTTCCATATACTTGGGAAGTATTACTGTTTAAAAGCGTCATTAATTATGTGTAACAGTTTTGTAATCGCCCGTTTTGGTAGATGTTTCAAAGTTTCTCCATTAATTATGTCAAAACTTGCTGATTTCTTCATGTTTAGCTTTTGTATTTCATAATAAAGTTCTTTCATTCTGACACTTGGTATATTACTCTGCTCATCACTTGGAATTATGCTAAGAACACTATTTAACATAGTTGTTGGACTGTCTGATGTAAATACTTTCAATCAAAATTTTTGCAATTGCATTTTTGCCCATCGTTTACTACTTCGTACCTAACCTTGACGCGCCAAGGTAGATTTGCCAAGTTGTAACTGATCCCGTAGGTCTGCGAGAATTCGCAAAGGAACATAATCGATTGCTTAAGATAAAAAATAATAAAGGTATAGGATATCACATCTCGCTTTTATTTACATTTTAGTATAACAATAATAATATGATAGTTGGACTATTTTTTTATTCATAATGAGAATTCTTGCGTATGAGATTTTTTGAAAATTTAAATAAATATATTAATCAGTTCCAAATATTTATGTTGAAAGTTAAAACTCAAAAAAATATTTTCAACTGCGCAAAGGTTTCGTTAACTTGGTAAGACATCTACCAATTCTCGTACAGTAAGATGTCTAAGTTCTAATAATGGTGTAGTTTGAGTTGTGTAATGTTTGGGAAATAGGAAAAAAGACATAATACTAACTATTAAAATTAAAATAATAATAATAACAATGTGGTAATATAGAGTCGTATCAATCATCGTATCAATCGTAGTAATATTAGATTCGGATAAAAATAGTTCTTTCCAAATATCATTTTTAGTTGGCCGAGCAAATATTGTATACATTCTTACTCCACAGGAAACTACCCCCATTAAACATGAAGGATGTGTGGTATTTGCTAGGAGTGGAGCACCAGAGTCTCCCTAAAATAAAAATAATAATAATAAATTGCTATATTAACATAGTGCAATAATATTTACCCCTTCTGTGTGATAAGAGTTCCTAGAAGTTGTACAAAATTGAGTATCATTGTTTCGAATGTAAGTGTTATTTTCACATTTATTTGGATTATTTTCAATTTCAAATATACCATAATTCATTATATGTGGTTCATTTTTACTCTAATAAAAAATTAATAAATTAAAAGATAAAATATTTTTAATTGACTTTGAAAACCTGAGCTTGAAAACCAGCTTTGATTAAAGAAATTGCTTTTCCTTTCGGATAAAAATCAGCACATAAAGGGATAGTTCTCAGAATTACTGGTATATTTTTTATCGTAATGGTAGCTATATCATATGTTGGACATGTTTCTTCCTTTACATAATCAGGATGTTTTTTTACATCATTCATATTAATTGGTATACTTCCTTTCAATGTCTCTTCAAAGTTGTTTAAATTCAGACGGTGTTTAGCGGGATATATGTAAAAAGTGTTATTCTGCCGTTCTTTAGGATCGAGTTTCCTAAAATAACTATGTTTAGTGGGTAATTCATTGAATGTTTTGGTACGTACCAATAATTATTAAAGCAATGAGCAGCTGTAATTAATACATTTCTTGAAATAGCAGTTGCTGTGCATTTGTATGTAAACGTTTCTAATGTTCCATTTCTTGTTAATATAGCAAACTGAAAAAATAAATAAAAAATAAACGTTTTTGTTAATGCTAAAAATAACTAGGAATGGGTTATCTAATCAGTTGCATTTCCTAGAATCTCTTGTATAAAGTTTTTGATTAGTCAGATCCGTATTTATATTTTAATAAAATAGTGCTTACCAAAAAATTGTAGTCAGTGGCTTCGTCTGATTCAATTATTTCACCATTATTAAACGCTAAAAGAATACGATTATTTTTATACATCGATGTGTAATCTTTATTGCTTCATACCTTCTACGGAAGCTATCAAAAAGTGTAGTTCTAAAATCGTTAATATCATCAATATCATATGATTTATTTTCATATGTCCGAGTCTGAACACAAGTGAACAATATAAAGTAACTAATTTTAATTTAAAATTTATCCGTTCAATTTTTAATTTCACAAATAATTTTTGTATGAACTTTTTGTACACTTCGATTCGTCGTGAATGCCCGACTTCACTTTAGAATATGATGAAATGACAATGATTTTAATGAATGTATTGTAAGGTGCGAATTTTTATCAGATAAATTTAAAATTGATGATAAGAAAATAATTTTATTTATTTTACAGCGATCACTCGAAATAATTTTTATCAGAATTCCCCGCATACTTGTTAAATTGTTTTCACAAAAAATACCGATTTTCCGATAATACATTTTTAAACGATTTCGTATTATTCTAATTCACGAACGAAATGACTGCTATGCATTTAGTTTAAAATTGAATTGACTTATTTTCGTTCGGGTGAACGTGGTTTGTTCACTATTTCTAACCAATATCGTTAAACTAACATTCTAATCGTGGTTATTGAACTTCACATATGACAACAGCTATGCTTTAAGAGTTGGTAAAGTGCACTCATCCAACAGAATTGAGAATTAACTAGTCTTCAGATGATTGCACAATGACTCTTGTTTATCAATAAGACAATATTGAGCCTATCCAATGACTCTAATATAACGCTCCCCAAAAATTTAGAAACCTAACTGTTAGTTAGACATTTTTAAGCGTTTTCGTATTATTTTATTTCACGAACTAAATGACTGCTATGAATTTAGTTTTCAATTGAACTTAAATTGAATCTATTTATTTTCGTTTGGGTGAACGTCGTTTGTTTAATACTTTTAATCAATATCGTTAAACCAACATACTAATCGTGATTATTTTGACTAAACATTACTAATTTTTATTCATTTTCGCATGAAAAACCAATTACAAACATTGATAAATTAAATTATCAAATTTATTTAAACATATTTTCTCGGTCTGCGTATAAAAAGTATATTATTATACTGCTATGACTCCATAATGAGAGGATGTTATCGTTTTTTATGTAAATATTGAAAGTTACGATAATCAAGTACGAAGGCTTTTACTGCCGGTGTTAATTGAACTAAAACTGGAACTAATACTAGCACTTTCACTAGAACTAACACTTCACCTACAACTAGTCACTTTCGGGTTGTCGTGCGTCTTTTGAAAAAGTAGGGATATATGGAGATGTTTCACGAAGAAGCGTTAAGGAAGAGTCCGTGGAAACAAATCATATGAAGAGACCGTCTCTAGGAATTCCTAGATAACCCGAATTCGCAACACCTCCTTATCAAAGATATCATGGAAACGAAAGCTGCTAAACAGTTTACCTTTCCTGGATATTTTGGTAACTAGGAAAAAAAAGGGGACATGGAACTGTGAATGTATCGGAAGAAGATATACACAAATTGGTATCTTCAGGTTTCATCCCATTTTCATTCACAACAGAATAGGTCAGTGATTCAACCCAGTTCCAGCGAGTAGAAAGGATATGCGAGGAAAAAATTTAAAAAAAGTAGAAGGATTTCTGCATGTACTCCAAAAGAACAGCTACACCCTGAGGGATATCCAGCGAGCCACGAAGCAACGCAAGCAGAGCTACCAACCAAGTTTATCTGCCTCCCTTAAGTTTCAGGTGTGATGGAGCGGATTGTAAGTTGCCTGAAGAGAATAAGAAAAGTACGATATGCTTATGATTAGCTAAAGACAAACTAATCCATTTAGGAGTGGGACTCTATCAGCTATCATGCAGTTGTGGGAAGCATTACGTTTTCCAAGATGGACGTAACATCGAGTGCCGCATCAAAAAGCATGAGAGGGATGTCTGATTAGATGAATAAGATCGAGCAGTCCGCAATCGCAGAGCATTGCCACAAAAAGGGATACACCATAGATTTCGATAAGACCGAGATACTGGCCAAAATCGGAAATTACTACCAAAGGATAACGAAGCGATACAGATCCATGAACATAAGAACAACATGAATGAATAACTAATTTCATCACTTCGAACTTGTTTGTTCGCGGTTTGTTGAACTACTTCTAAAATCTATTATCTTTGACTTATTAACAGGAAATAGTCATATTTCTAAACATCGCTCATACTTAATAAAATTTATTCAAAGTCGTTCATCACCAGTAATGAAAATGGTGCATTAGCGATTCGTGTGGAGAGCAGAATAAGAACAACAACGTTACTAATTTATTTACAGAGAGAATATGCTGGTATACTTATTACAAAATTGAAAGACTATCGTTTAAAAAAGTACTCTAAACATTCATATATGTATAGTTTTACAGTTGCTGGTACAGTTGGTGGCAACCTCACAAGTTGGGTGTCCTTTTTTTAAGTTTTCAATAGTGCTGCCTTTGAATGTAACTTCAATAAACAGTGAGGTTGTCAAGTTCAAAAACGTGCTTACCTTATTGGATTACATTTCGTCGACAACTGCAAAAAAGCAAAAGAATCAAAATATCCAGACCAAAACGTTAAGCCAAACAGAACGTAATTCAGATCAACCTCAACCGAGGTGAGGGTAATGATGCGGCCTTTGGAAGGGTGCTTTAGGAGGAAGGATTTGGAGGTGAACCTAGACAAAACGAAGATAATGAAGTTTTGTAAGTGGGGTGCAGAAACAGGTGAGCAGGATATAAGAAAAGGGGATTGAAATGTGTAGACAGCTGACGAGCAGGGATATGGGAATGTAGGAGAGAAGGACTGATGATATAAGGGAGAGAAATATAACCCAAAATCGGGGAGATTGTAACAGAGGGGCTACCAAAGTATTTGATTTGCAGAGGGGGGTGAGGAGGGGAAGAGTGGTGGCCAGATCTAGGTGTGGTAATGAAGAGAGGTTCAGAGCTGGCTGTCTTTATAGTATCTGCTAGTAGAGTGTGATGAGATTAAAACATTTTACCATCCAATTTTTTTACATGCATTACGATTCAAGTAGATTTTTGCAACAAAAAAAAATCTTCTTTGTAATGTTTTTTCGCCTTTAGATAAAATACTTAAATATTAACACACTTTTATAAACTTTGTTCTGGAATTTGATAATTTAAGTTAACTATAATAAACCATTTATTTCAGAACTACCAAAAATACATTAATCCCTGTTACTTCCTGGGTCCTCAATTGTATTTTATAGCTAAAGACGGAAGATGTTAATTCTCTGCTTAAAAAATTTTTTTGGCAAGTCGTAGAATAATGACAAGCTACGAAAGAACTAACGTGTGAAGAGTCATGTGATTATTTAGAAGATGATGATGGTAGTTTACAGATTAAAGTTGATTAACTTGTCTTCATGTTAGCTTTTATTGTAACAAGATGATAATAATGGAAATATGACGATTATTTGAGTATTCACTCTTTCGGAGAGAATTTTGAGTTAGTTTCAAAATATTAAACTTTTTGATCCTTGGGAAAATATATCTTAAGTTTGCAGTTAATATATATATTTTAATAATTTATACTTTTATCAATGGCGATAAAACTATAAGGATTACTCATTGTCAAAATGCGTCATTTCATAATTATAAAAAACAACTTATGTCTGTTAGATAAACGTGTTTGATCTGTCATAAAAACTTCTCGTTTTACTTAAACTAATTTTATTATATTAATATATATTTACTTTATACATTTGTGAAGGTATATCTTATTTACAATTCATGAATATATACTACGAAAAGAATCGCCAAATTTTTTTAAGCTTATCCTCGTTCCCATAAAAATTATTTTCGTAGTAAACCGTCGATGGGAGAAATTCAAATAATTTTAATGCGTTGTAGATTTGAAATGACCGATAAATTAGCCTCATTCTTATGAACTTACAAAATACGTACTTTCTGGAATCGATCCAAAAAGTAAAACACAGTCTTGCATTTTCCGAATAAAAGAAATAACAAAAAAAAAAGAAATGAAATTTTCGAAAAAAAAATATATAGTTATTAGTAGGAACTCAACTTCTAACTCATCAATTTCGGTCTTTAGGTTAATACGATGACGAAACAACAAATAAATGGAAAATGTACTGCCGTTTGTTAGTCATAATTGAGCACAATGCTAATTGCGTTTACCGACTTATACGCTAATTAAAGATAAAAGCGTCATTCAACCGGTAAACAATTTTCATGTTTTTAAATTACTCATAATAATAAATAAAAATGATCGATGATAAAACTGAATATTGTGAGTTAGAAGTTGAGTTTTAATTTTTTTTTGTATTTTTCTTGACTTTTTATGTTGTATTTACGAATCCTTTCGGCTTTATCATCATCATAGCTTTCTTTAAAGTGTAATCCCATCCTCTCCATCTAAACCAAACTATACCTATAAGGAAAGAAATATTTTAATATTTTTTTTAGAATACTTGTTGGTTATTTTAAATACCTTGTCTTGCTGTTAAATCCTGCGGGTCATTTAGATACAATCCATTAAGTCCCCTTCCGCACGATTTCCACCACCAACCACCTTTTAACATCGAAGCACAATTTAAACTAGATCTATCATTATCTCTGTTATACGTAGAAAATGGACTGTTATTGCTACCATACCAAGGATCATTTAACGAATCGCCAGCATTACCTTCATAACCATCTATTTCTAATTTATAATATTCCGCTTCTGAGTATATCTTAAAATGGGAATATTGAGCATATCTGTGAAAAAATAATTGATAATTAATTAACGTTATAATAAATCAGAATTGTTTTACCTTTTGTTTCCTTCAAAATCTTCCAATTCCACCCTTAGAATATATTCTTCATTATTAGTAAGCATGTAAATATTTTCATTTCCCAACCAAAACTCTTTAGCTGGATCACCAAAGCCGTTTTTATAGTCATTCCAATCTCTATTGAAATTTTCTCTAGGTTCGTTAAAATCATCCCTTCTTTGAATCACCGTCCATCCTCCTTCCGCAATTTCTTGTTCGCAGAATACTTTTAAAAACCAATATGTGGTTCCCCTTATTTGAAGATAATAAACATCTGAGTGACGCATTCCGGCATTTAAAAGATCCACACATGAGTAACCCTGATTAGCAAAAATTTCAATTATTTCATATTTTTTTATATTATATAATATAAATAATAATTAAAAACAAATAGATAAATGAAATAATAGTAAATTCCTGTTTAGTCCATTGTTAATAAATATCAAAGTTTTTGCAAATGTTGATAAGAATTTTATCTTAGTTATAGCTGATCTTATCTTATAATGTTTTTCCAAAACATAAATGACTCACTATATAGTGTTATGATGTTTTCGATAAAGTAAAATATTATTTCTGTACATCAATGCAATCGTAGTGTGTCTCACAAATACATTGAAGTAGAGAGTAAAGTCAAAATATACAAGGTGATAGTTCGACCAGTGCTAACCACGCGAACAGAGACCAGAGCAAAAACACAGAGAACAATGCGCAATGAATATGTAGTATAATTAAAGGAATATTTAACTAATCTCAAACAAATGCTAAGTGAATCTTTATGTAATCTACTATAGTGGGTCTTATCTTAATCTTAATCAACGATATATCTTTACCATGAAAAATATTTTATGTCATCCATATTAATGCAAAATAATTCTGATTTACGATAATTTTAAATTAAATATTTAACATACCTTAACTTCCTTAATATTTAATACATCAGTAGCGAATGTATTATTAGTTGAAATAGATGGTTTATTCTTCACACTGGGAAATATAACACCACCTTTCCTTTTCTCTATCCTTTTTTCCGTGATATTAAAAATTTGTTGGGTTGTAGCAGCTGTAGGAGTAGTATTGGTGGTTGTTGTTGCTTGGGTGGCTGTTGTAGGTGGAGGTAATGTTGTAAATGTTACTGGAAGTGTAGTATCAGTTTGTGGTACATAATCATCTATTTGATACCTGTTCGGATTAAACTCAACCAATCTATCGATGGTTGGGTCTAAAAGTAATTCTGCAGGCACAGGTCTTTGAGCTAAAGTGGCCACGTCATCTTCTTGTTTTTTCAATCGTTTTTCAACCATATCTAAATTTTCGATGATTTGATTCGCTTTGGACCTAAAATCACTATGCATTTCTCCGATTGCCCTTTCTTGACGTTGAGTTTGCGTAAGAAGTTCGTCGGATTTTGGAACTAAATCGTCAACGGAACTTTTAGTCCCAACCACTACGTCCCAAACTTCGTCCATTTTTTCGGAAACATTAATAATTGGTTTCATTTGTTTTACTAAAGAATCTAATTTACTTCCCCTTACAATCACAGGTTGAGGAGTTGTTGTTGTTCGATTTTTGGAATTTTCTGAAGGAAGAACAGTGACTTGTTCAACAATCGCTTCATGGACATCACCCATCATACGAAGAACTTTGCCCAAGTTCTCATTAACCAAATTAATATGAAATTGTAATTTTCTGTCAACGTTTCCCGTAGCTTCGCGTAACTGATTTAGTTCTTTAGTAATATGATTAATCACTTCTGAATTTAAAGCTTTCGTTATTTCAACAACATTCATACTGATTGGTTTCTTCTCACTAGCTTCAACATTTATATCATCATTTTGTAAATAGTTATTGTCCAATTGATTTTTTAACGTATTTAATTTGTCGTCGATATCGCTAACCTTTTGATCTAAAGACACCAAACGCATACTCAGTGCATTTGTGTCGTGATACTCAACCGTCGAAGACCTGTCTTGACTTCTGGGGAAACTCGGAAATAACTTTCCATCTAAGTTTCTTAATTTGGCAATAACCGCATCTGTTTTATCGATATTGTTGTTTACCCGACTATCTAAAGTTTCTACTCTTCTCATTAAATGTTCAACTGCTTTATCCAAATTTTCTATTCTTTGTAATTTTGAATCTAACGTTGATATGATGGCCTCGAAGACGTTGAAAAGGTATTGTTCTCTGCAATTTAAATAAAAAAAAGTGTTATTTCATAAATTTATTTCTTTATGAGAAGAGAGGTTGCAAGCGATTTCCCGAGTTAAATTCGAGAGTAGAAAGCACATTCACGTCGAGTCTAAAGCTGCCGACAAAAAGCGCCGGCCAATTAAAGGCGATTTAAGGTGGTCAAGAGGACCGAGCCACAAGTAATTACCAGTATTGTGCTCGGAACCTATCATTTTCTTCTCGGCCTACCGGAGTTGCTCAACCGGACGGACACTTTTTCGACGTTGGAGTTCGCAAATTTTCGGAAGAAAGCGCGCGGACCCTTTTTAACGACCCACGAGGGAACGATAATTAGTCGACAACAGGTGAATTGACTTGTGAAATCAGTTTTCTGACAGGCTAAAAGGTAATACCACGTTAAACTCGTTGCTCATTTAAGTCTTCAACCTAGAAGGTTAAGTTGTTAAATGATAAAATTGACTTTAACCGTTATATTCTTTAAGTCTTTAAATATATTAAATATTAATAATAGTGAAAGTAGTATAATAATAGTTTGAAGATTATACATGAAAAAAAGAAAATTATACGTCTTGTTTATTTGTCGAGTGAGGACAATGTGTGAATAATAACGAAGAGGTTTTTTTTTGAGGTGGGCAGTAGATATCGAACACTGTGTGAGTTGAGTGGCTGTCAGAGAATGGTTTGAGGTTGGTTATAATTGCCTTATGGCGGGCGGGTAGTCCAATTCAATGCAAATGCCATGCTGCTTTGTTAGATTTTCCGTCAACGAGTGAATTACAAATGAAGATAATCGGACTGTTGGCACCTGGCCGGTGAACGTTTGAACGCCCACATAGTTTGTATCGATTTAAATTACAAATAAAAAAACGAAACTCATAAACTCTTCAAGTTAGGAGAAACTTTTAGTGAACATTTATCTACGGTCAATTTAATTTGTTGAGAATTTATTCGATTGCAATATATGCTATACCGAATACAGACAAAATCACTTTAGATTTTTAGTACTAGTTTTTGCGATCGCGAGGTGCACAACGGAAACCTGGGGATTTCAGCGGATTTCAGCCGGGCAAAGCGGACCATTTTTTATAAAATTGTAGGCGAAAGGCGCGTTCTTATATGGGAAACATTTTGCAACGTATCGGCAATGTTTCCCAAGTCAGCAAGGATAACGAGGTTAAACTGTAACTATACTTTAAAACGTCTTATACCTGGGCGCTTTCTATTCGATGACTTTTTTTTAAAACATTCTTGAAAATATTTATTTTCTCAGAAACTTCCAAAAGAATTTGTTTAGTAAATTTAAATATCGTACTACTATTAAATTTTTATTAAAAAGTGCAAAAATGTATTAATGAGATGAGTAAGAGTTAGTTCATTAAATGAGTTGCTTAAATTAGGTAATGTTAATTGAAGATTCAGAGAGTCCCTGAAATTATTTGAGAACGTTTTTTGTAGATAATTAGAATTTATCGATATATTCGAAAAAAATGTTGCAAATGTTTTGAAATTGGACCTTAAATGTGATTTAATAATAATAAATGTAATTTTCCATTAAACGTAATCTTAGTGGAAAAGTGTTAGATAAACTTTCAATAAAGTTAAATTAATTTTAAAACATTTTTTGATTATGATATGGTTAGTCATGGTTATAATCTTGGAAACAGATGCTAATCTAATAAGGGTTTTGTAATAATGTAATGATAAACGGTTTTTACCCACCAACATGTATTTAATATTTTTACTAACATGATTTTTTACGATCGGGTATTTAGGACAACCGTTCAATTGGGTCTTATTAACCGATGTGTCTCGATTAACAGGAATGCACATATCTATTTCTGTTTCCTCTTCTCTAGAGCTTTTGGGCAACAGTAGTCTCGCATCATATTGTCTTTTCACCACTTTAATGTTTTGATGAAACAGTTCACCTTACACTTCATTAACATCACCCAAATAATCGGGCAAAAAGTCAAACTGACTGTTCAAAAAGTCTTAAACATCTTACCTGTTTAAACTTTTCGAGTATATTAGCAACTGTAGAAATATGAAATGGATCCATTTTGTTGCCGAATAACTTTGTATTATTTGTGATTCAACAATAGAATCAGACATCAATTTGTGAATATCAGAATCAACGAACACTTCTTTTAATGACCGAAAGCTTCCGACAGTTGAGGAAACTTGGTCAAAGTTTCCACAAACTGAGGATAGAAACTTAGATTTTTTTAAGGATAGGCGACCAGGTAAGTAGGTATATCAAAGCGGAAAATACATGGAAGCCTACGACAGCGTCAACCGAAGCAAAGGGAAAACTTTTGATAAGAACTTGATCCCAGACATGGTTTTAGGCATTCCGAAACACAAAAAATTGTTAATTTGCATACCGACCACCTTGAAAATATATATTTCCTCACTGAGGGTGCTTCATTCTGCGCCAACTACAGGAGAACAATGGATGACTGGTATCAATCAACTTTTTTGAGTGGTTCCTAAACTACTTCATCCTCTTAAGTCAAGGAGCCAATACAGACCGTGGATACGATAATATCTTAAGACAAATCTTAAGGAGCTTAGATCTAGTCATTCATTCTTACATCAGGATGAACTGAGATTTTTGTTTGGCAAGTCAACATTTTCCATAACATTAGAAAACCGCCATTGTTATCTGTATCGCCCTATTTCACTGCTGTCAGTAATAGAAAAACTCTTTGAATCACATCTTAAGAACAGAACTTGGCTACCGTTTCAAAGAACTCGCTTATTGATATTGTCGCTTGTTGATGCTACGGAAATCTGGTTTCAGAAATGAGGTATACAAGTAAGCCCGTCAAAAACAAAGTTTCTTGTTCCTTTCCTTTCAATTTATGCTCCTTATCCAGAAATAATAATCCAATCGGCCACCACTTTTCTCACATCAACCTGCAAATAACTGGGAGTAACCCTTGACAGAACTGTGAAATTCTCTGCTCACGCCATCAAAGTAAAGATGAAAGTCATGACCCCGCCAAGCACTTAGGATCCTTAATTCAGAGGTCGTTACACACATTTATAACGTGGTATATAAACCAATAATCGAATATGCATCGTTATCCTTCATGACACGATAAGAAGATCTAAGTAGCACCTAGAAGTTGCAGAAATAGCGGCGCAAGAACGATTACGCGTATTAGATATCCTCAAAATTCAGTGTTTAATCCTAGTAACGAACTCCTCTACCGTCTTATCAAAATTACTCCTAGCCTTTCCCGCCTACAAGGTTTATCCACTAAATTTTTCATTAAACCCCTTAAAACGTCTGTTTATTACTCCTGATTCACACCATCACTCCCACAACAACCATTTAATACTCTACCATCGAATATTTCGAAACAAAGCAGACTGATCGCTAATTTGATAATGTCACTGATCTCGGGCAGAAAGAAAAGGTCGATAGCCCTATTTTTTGAAATACCCTCTTTTGAAATTTTTAATTCATTTTACTTGCACATATTTTTTGTTTTGATTTTAAATTAAATTAAAAAAATTAATTTGTAAATAGGTAAGGTTGGTTTGCAATAGATACACAAAACGTGAAAATTAAAAAGTTTGTGGTAATATTATGGAGAAAAATCGAAGAATATGAAGTTTATTTCTCTATATTTTTCAAGGATGTCTGAGGTATTGAAAGGATACTCGAGATTATAGTTCTTCTGAGTTCAAGTTACAACACAAACACCTATCCATAATATTTTCAGCGTTTAACATTTGAAACGATTTCAATATACATCGTAACGTTTTTACAAGATTTATTAGCTTAAATCAGTGCAACACGTCAACGTGATACTTCTGGCCTTCTAACTCTAAAGTCGTGATGATGATCTTAAGGGAAACAAAGGCTGAGAATTTCCATAAAATTGCTTCAGTTTTAGTTTCAGTTCATACATTAGAATTGAGCAAACTTATTTGATCTTTTTACTTCACTTTGCGATTTCATTTATGTAAAAGTTTTTAAATTAATTTTAATAATTAATTCCAATAGAATTACATAATTCCGTAATTATATTAACAACTTTCTACTTATTATATACACCAAGAATACATCGAATTAATTAACAATCTTCTTAATTAAAACATATTAAACCAATTTTCCGTGTAATGATTCACTAATATGTCAATATTAAAAGAAATCTATAATGACTTGCATCAGGGTATCGCTGTTAACAGTTATGGTTTCCGATTTCTAAGACGTTAAAAGGAAAATTATACGACACTTCAGAAGTACTTTAAAGATACTTCCTATCAATAATTCTTGCGCCATATAAATGTGTTTAGGTTACAAAAATAGCTTATACTTTCCTTTCTCGTGCGGCGACTTGTATAAAAGATTAGATTGAGGTTCAATTAACGACTGATCGATAAATTATTTCAAACCGAGTGGTGGTAGAATTGAAGTTTCTTACAGAGCATTTTCTTCCAGTGTAAACATAAATATTTCGACTTTCTCTGCCGCTTTTTTGTTGTTGTTACAGTTATGTTATATCTGTAAATCAACCCGCAATTAAATTATAAATAACTTGATAATGTAATAATATCACCAAAGACAAGATCAAATTCCGTTCTGCGTCGTTGATTCGTTAAAATCAGCTGTGAAACGTTTTGAATTGACCAAATTAGTAAACATGACGGTTGATAATTAATTTACATACGTTTAGCTTGAGTTAGTTTATAAAATATTAGTTGTTATCATGTTCTGCTTTAGTATGAATTAAATAACATAAATGGACAACTGTGTTGATTATAAAATCATAAATCGTTTGAAACTTTCAAATCGGTAAAGTTATGTGATAAATTAAGCAACTAGTTTTGGTAATAAATAAAAGAATTTTTATTTGTAAAACCGCAGAAACCACAAAACTCGCAAGGTATTGCGCTGATGGCAAAGAAGTAACTGAACACTTTGAAGTTAAACATTTTGACCTTTTTAACTTGCATAATTCGTATTGAGTGATAGTAGA